TTTGCATTGCACATTTAATTACGAGATTTTTATTTATTTTTAAATTTATGCAGCTTTAGTTTCAAAACTTAAATGTCAATTTCATGACATTTAGAGCCCTTATTTTGGCAGTAAAGTTGTTATTGTTAGGTGATCATTGCCTTTAATGTTCTGAACATTTATGCAATTAATTACATTCTGTTTAAATGTCTTGGATTCATTTTAAAGTTGCCAATGCCTATATTATAGGCTATATATTTCAATTGTGCAATCCTTCATATTCGTTACTTGAGTTAATCTTGATAAAATATATTGAGTGAACTAATGTTCTTTTGAGTGTGAAGTCTTGACAGCTGCCACATTGAGTTAATGGCCAGGAAGTGTACATTGTGAAACCTTCTGGAGAAAACTGAAATAAAATTATAAATTATATCACTGTAAGCGGCATTTAATTTTGAATTTTGGTGTAAGGCTTTCAAACCCTAATTTTTTTTTTGGCATTTTTTACATTTATTTTTGTGAGGCTTTCGGTGGTTTCACTATTATATTTACAATAACTATTAATATGACTGTGAGTTAGCATATCTCATGAATTTAAAAATAAATAAAATTTTAATACAGACTTCATATATTGTGAGAATTCCCTAAATTTGTGGGGGTTGAGAATTTCCTTAACTATGTGGGTAATTGTTGGAACTTTTGTGGGTATTTCAAAATACAAAATTAATTTCAATACTTGTTTTATGTTGAATTTAATTTTCCAGATTTTGAGTGGTTTTGATTATCTCTTTAAAACTGAAGTTATTGTTCACCCGTTTTTGATCTAATCCTATGATGATAGGGTAAAGTTCCCCATTGGCTTGAAAACCATTTGTGGTCAACAAGTCAACTTTCTTTTTGTGTATGAGCGTGCCACTGCTAGCGGTTTAAAACCCTAGCAGACTTCTATAAAATAGATAACTTGCACCCCAAGTTACTGATTCTAAATAAGCAATTGTGAATTTGGGTGAGGAATATCTCCCAAGTAAGTTCTTTTCTTGCCTCAGACTCTTGGAGAGGCTGGCCGGCTCAGCAGAAATGGTATTACTTCAGCCTGAGTTGAGCGGAAGATGGCTGGATTGAGGATTGCTGGCCTAGAGCTGCATCATAGCACCTATTTTGCTTGATTGTGACCTTAAGTAGGAGCTATTCTGACAATTCTGGACACCTGGAAACTTCCTGTAAATTTGTTGAGGTTTTCATTTTATGAAAAACTCAAATTCAGCTTGATTTGGTATATGCTGAACCAAATTTGTAACAAGAAAAGTCTTGTTTCTTTTTGTGAAGATGTTTCTCTTGAGCTGGAATGAACCAAGTTCTGGCTGTTTTGGTTTGATTGCTTCAGAGTCTGAAGGCTTTTGAGATTTGAATGACTTTGTTCTTTCGAATTTGTCAATATAGTCTGAGAGTTTTGTCTTGATTGATTTTTTGGCTGTCTTCAGCCTGTTCAACTCTTCTCATATTTATAGAGAACTAAGCAGTGAGAGTTTCTTTTATTTTTAAAACTTTTAAAACTGGGAGGCAGATCTTTGAAAGGATTTTCTTTATCTCTAATGTCCCCAAAAGAAGGCATTTAATGTTTTGGCAAAGCTGGAACCATCAATAGTCAGACTCTATGGTGGTCTTTTCCCAGCTTTCCTGGTGAACAACTCTCCTGTCTCCTGCTCTATTTCTTGAAAAACACATCCTATTTCAATTTGTTTCAAAGTAGAGCCCTCTGTGAGTGTAGAAGGGCAACTTTGACTGTCCTTTCCTTCTGTTTATTATGAATGGTTTATGGGGAGTGTTCTTCTGGTTAACCTGCTTTCATTAACTCCCCATCACTTCCTAGTTGAGATTTTTGACCTTCTCCATCACACGGGTCTTTCTTTGGAAGAGATATTTTTCATAATATCTGCCTTTTGGATTTGGTTAGATCAACGGTGGCGATTCTTGAAACTGACCCCATTTATGTTTAATTTGTCCTCAAAGGTCTGGGCTTTCTAGAATCGCTTGGGCTGATTTTTTGCACTTTTAAGCATCTGGCCTGATCTTTGCCTTTTTTTTTTTTTGAAACAAAGCCCAGCAGGCTCTTCCTTTGATATGGGCCTTTGCCCAATTGTCCTGGTGCGTGGGATTTAGGCCCAAACAATGCCCCCTAAGTCTGAACAGTTTGAAATGGTTTTTAGACTTAATGATTGTCTAGTTTAATGACGAGCGCCACTTTCTGCCGTTGTCTTTAGCCCACGTCTGCCTACTCCTCTGGACCTCGTGGGGAAATGGGTGATTTAACGGCTACTTTAATCTGGGCATCCTTTCTCCTTCCACAATCTTCTTCCTGAGCCCCTATAAGTTCTCTTCAAACTTCATTACTGTTCATTCATAAACCTAACTCCTTCCAGTCTTTGAATATTCCTCAGAATCCTTTGTTTTCTTTCGATTGACCTTCCATTTCTTCTGTTTCTGCTTTGAAACTGAGAATGTCTTCTCCAAAAACCCGCGCAAAAAGTTTTTCTTCTTCGCGGCCTCCTGCCTATCTTATTGGAGATGGTGTTGATCAACATGTGATCGAGTTTCGCAGCAAACTCCACCCATATACCCAAAAAAACGTGGATGAAAACAGTCTTCATTTGTTTGAGAATACTCTCGTTCTGGGCCCTCACTGGTTCGGCCACATCCCGGAACAAATGGCTGATTTGTTCAGAGAAGACGCAAAGGCCCCTTTGTGCTTTCAAAGCTCTTCTACCCTAGCTTTTCATACATGGGTTAGTAAAAATTTGAGTCGGTCTTATCCTACAAGTGAAGTGAGGAATAATACTGTGAAGTGGTCAGACTGGATTGACAGACTTCTCCCGAGGCCTGGAGACCACTGGAAAAAGGCCGGAATTTACAATGCCATCCTCCTGTCCAAACACTCTGTGAACATGGATGAGAATTTGTTGGCTACTGCTCTCTGCTTTTGGAATTCTGCCAGCAATACCTTCAACTTTCGCGTGGGTCCTATGGCCCCAACTCTGCTGGATATGGCTAAGATTTTCGGGTTTAGACCTCACGGAAGGCTTGCTGATGCTGTTGGCGATTATCACAGAGGGAAGAATTGCGAGAGGCTAGTGAAGAAGTTCACCATTCCTCCTACCACGATCAACCAGAACTGCTCATTTTCCAATTATCTGAAAAAGTTCAGCATTGAGCAGGATAGGGATCAACAACATATGCTGTTTCTTCTATACTGGTTGAACAGGTTTGTCTTCCCAAACCGTTCGTCAGCAGTTCTGCTTGAGTATCGTCATTTGGCAGAAGCTCTGCATAATCACACTGATGTGGGGCTTGGTCCCACAGTTCTGGCTCACCTGTACAAGAACCTTCATAGTGCCACCTTGGAGAGCCCCCTGAATATCTCTGCTCCGGGCGCCTTTTGGATGATCCAGATATGGCTGCAGGTTTATTTCCCAGAATTGAGGTTTCCATATATAGTTCTGCCTGAGGATCAGGTCATGGCCCTTCCTCTGATGTCGGCAGAAGTGCCCAAGCGTTCTATTGAAGAATACCTGATGTTCTTTAGGCACTGCACTAAGAGGTCTGCTGTTCAGTGGCAAGTGGTGCTTAGAAGAACCTATCCTTGGTTTCAGCCTGGATACAAGCCTGAGGATGAAGAGGCCGAAACCTTTTTTAGGCAAAAGTTCATGAGTGTAATGCTGCCTCGGGACCTGCCTTTTGGTGGGGGAAAACCTCATAACTATCACCTGGGTGGAGAGGTCTACCATCCTAACTTCTGTGCAAGGTAGCTTGGCTGCCCCTAGCTTATCCCAATGAAGTCTTATAGAAGTTGCAACCGGGGCACTTCCTGGAGAGATGCAGACGACTTGGATCTGCACAAGGATTGCAGGTGTGAAGTGAATAAGATTAACAACACTGTGGATGCCCTATTTCCATCATGGGAGCCTAACTCATGCAGTTCTAGTGAGTTTGATGCTTGGTGGAAGGCTAAGTTCGCAGATCTGGCTGATTCACATACTGCCACCAAGGTGCTCTTTGAAGGCTGGGATGGTTGGGCTATCCATGCTGAATCAGATGCCAAGAATTTCTTCATACAGATGCTTAAGGGTGTAAATGCCCAAGTGATTTAAGGTAATTTTTTAGTTCTGCCTCCTTTACTTTGGATTTCTGTTTTATGAAACATGATCTCATCTTGTTCTCCCTTTTTGTCTCATATCCTTGCATGACGGGCAATCTTAGTGGGCAAAGTGTACAGTCTGGACAAGTGATTGGTGAGCTTTTGATTTTCTGCTTTCGTGCTTATTTCTATCTTCTGACTTGGCTTTCTGACCTCTATTCTTTGTGTAGCTACCTCCATCATTGCTGCTGGGGATCTGGAACTTCCTTTTGGAGATGAAGAGGATGAGTATGAGACTATGGCAGAAAAAGCCCCTGAGACAACTCCCTCTATCAGAAAGAGCAAGAGGAAAGAGATTGCCCAGGTTCAGGACACTTCTATCCAGCCTGATCTTCCAGGTGAATTCTTTGAACTGAAATTTTGTTATTCTTTCTGGTTTGTTTGTGAATTGAGACCTGACCCTATCACCTATTCTTTTGCAGTCGAAAGTCCTTCCCCTCCTCCTGCTAAGACAAAAAGGCTTAGAAAAGGGGCTGTGAGTGTTCCTGCGGAAGTAGAAAGACATGTGCTCGCTCCTACAGAAACAACAGAGACTGATGAAGAACTGCAAGAGGCTTTCGAAGTTGTGGAGAGAGAAAAGGAAGTCTCGAAAGGAGACAAGGAAAAAACCAAAGAAGGAGAAGAGGAAGTGAGATTTTCCTTCAGTCCTTCGCACAGACATGGTTCATTTTGCATTGTTTTTCTTCTGACTTGGGTTATGTCCATCTGTAGGAGGAAATCCCTTCTGAAGTGGTAGCAGAAAGCATCGAACTAGCCAAGAAGCAACAAGAGGCTCAAAGAATAGAGCCCACGGATTCAGAACTGGCCCTGTTTGATGAGGTGGTGGCAGATCATTCTGCTGTTGTTCCAGAGCCTGAGGTTATCTTCTTTCTTCCCAATCCTGTCTGATTTCTATCTTTAATTCTGTCTAGTTTTGCCTCTTCTAAACAATGTTTCTGATCCTCTAGGTAGAGGAGGACAGAGCTGCTGGAGAGTTAGCTGTGGTGACCAGCCCTCTTAAACCCATGATCGTGGCTGTAAGTAACATTGGTGTCTTAGCATTTTCTTCCAAATTTCAGTCCTGCTAGAACTAATCTGAAACTGTTTTCTGCAGATGCCTATTCACTCTGTTCCACGTTCATCATCCACAGCCTCCTTTGCTGATCCAGAATTGGCCGAGTTTGAAGCTATGGACTTAGAGGCTCAGCTACAGAAGCTCGACAAACTGGGAGCCACTCCAAGTAAAGCTAAGTCCAGGGCAGTGGATGAGGCAGTGGACAGATTAAGAATCTGGCAGTCAACCGAGCTGGATTTGGATGAGAACAAAGAAGCGCTTGATCAGCTGATGAAGGATCTGGATTTGTTGCATAGGGAGAATGTGGCTCCTAGACCTATCCTTAAGATCATCCTGGGCTTGGCCAAAGATGTACTCAATCTTTACAACCGATATGAAGATCTTAAACCTTCTTTCAATGCTTCTGAGTTCTGTAAGACCACTCACGAAGCCAACTTGGCAGATTATTAGAAACAGAAAGCGGAGTTGGACATGCTGGTTGCAGATTACAAAGAAACCAAGTCTACTGCTGATAAGCTGGAGGAACATATTGCAGATCTCCAGAAACAGTTAGCTAGTTTGAGGGGGAAGCAGAAAAATCTCGGGGTTGGACTGGGAAAGAAGACTAAGGCCACCTTTCTGGTGCAGAGCTTTTGTTAGTACGAAAATTTGTATTGGCATTTCCTAGACTTTAGCATAGGTTGAAAATTAGTTTGAGAGAAATTGTCACTGGACGTTTTGGCACAACTCGTTCAACCACATAATTCCGAGGTATGACTTGACCATATGAGAAACTTGACTTGAGGTAACTCATGACATAATCATGCATTCACAATAGGATTTTCGGCTGAAGTTCTTTTTAATGTCATTGTGATTTAAGTTGAATTATTAGCATTTCTTGTAGTGACGTGCATCATGTGTATCTCCTAATTATCTTGTTTTAGGAGAGAATTGTTTATTTATAAAAGTGGATGTGTGGTGTCTTCACTAGGAGTCCATATTGAATTAGAATTTATATTCTTATTGGGTCAGAACTTATATTCAAGTTGGACAACTTTTGAACTTATGCTGAGTTGGACGTCTGATGTAGAGAACTTGTTTGCATCACGTTTAGGTGTTTGAGGTTGAATAAGTTTGAGAGTTTTGGTTGCATGGTAATTGTGGGAACATGGTTCTCTCACGAAAGGTGAGAAATCCACTTTGAATAAAAGGTCAGCTAACATTTTTCAGATGGGGACTTTTCAAGGCAATCATATTTTGATCATATTGTATCTTTGAGGAAAAGTCTGTTGTGCTTATTTTCTTTGGTAATTCATCAAGTGCTCTTTGGGTGCTTGGTGACTTATTGATTTTATTCATCATTCATATTGCATACATATGCATGTCGGTGACTTATATGGTTAAGTGCACCGAGACCGTTGTGGCGTTCATCCTCCGGTGAGCTTGAAGCAATCGTGACCAATATTGTGTTCAACATAAGGAGTATCGAAGATCATCCCGTGACAAAAGTTGAGTTACGAAGTCGGTAAACATTATCTAGAATGTGTCTAGGATAAGTGTGTGAGTACTTCTTGTAATCTCAATTCTATAGTGGATTTGTTCTGGACTAAGGAGTCCCGTGGATTTTCCCCAGAGGTGGGGTTTTACCACGTAAAATAATTCTCTGCGTGTTCTTTTATTTTATGCCCAGCACATTTCAGGATTAATAAGCCATATCAATCCTGCTACTGAAGTTTAATTTGTGTTTATTGATTATAATCTTAAATTGGCCTATTCACCCCCTCTAATCATTTTTTAGTCATCCTACAGGTATTTTCAGCTTTGTTTCAGCTTCAAAGCCAACATTAGAAATTGCAGAGGCCTCTATCCACCAGGGAGTGCTCCTCCAGAAAGAAATGTCCATCAAAAAGACTGGATTGCAAGAGACTCTTAAGAAACTAGGGCTTTAGACTGGATTGCAAGAGACTCTTAAGACACCAGGGAGTGCCACAGCTACTGCTTTACTTGCATGCGGCTCATAACCCAACTAATCAAAGAGTGATTTACAGCTCATAACCCATCACACTTTCTTCAACTTCTGTGAGGTTATGAGAGGTTACGGCAGCTGTCTCCTGATAATCTTGCTGACCAAATGAAGCCCCCAAGTGGCGATCTTCCAGCATGTCTGATGTGAATACTTCACTGCTGGAACCATCCTCCCATCCATCAGCAAGTGTCCATGGGGTGTTATAACTTGAAGTTTTTGAATATTTACACCAGTAAGCTTTCTCCATGTTTTCACAAGGCTCCCGAATAGCCTCCGATGGCTTTGGGTCATTCTTCCACTGGTGGCACAATACATCTTCGTCGAGCAAGTCATCAAAGCATGTAATGACAGCAGCCATCTCCTTTCCCCTTCGTTTTGGCAAGGGGTCTTCGTCAATAGCTTGCCTCTTAAAGGGTAGCTCAAGAGTTCCGTCATGTATCTCAGCATGCAAGGTCTTCCTCAAAGTTTGACAAGCGGTTGTTGGATGACCCACAAATTGATGATAACAGCAGTACCTAGGATCACCCTTTTCCTCTCTAGTAGGGACTTTATAAGGCCTGGAGGGTTTGATTGCACCATGAACAAACATTGTATCAAGAATGGCATGGAATTCTTCATCTTTGCACGGCAGTGGCAGGTACATCTTCTTGTCTTTTCTTTTGTGTGAATTGTAGTCACTAGATGATTTGCCACCCTCATCTAATGTTTGGTGTGCTTCTTCTCTTCACTCCTCCAAGCTTCTTGCCCAGTTAGTTTGACTGACATGCTTGTTTTTCTTACTGCTTCCAGCAGCCGAGAAAATTGGTTAATGCCAATATTTTCCAGATAGACTCTGTAATTTGCCACGATGTTCCTGATGCAAATTTTGATAAGCACTTCTTCATCCTTCTCATCATAGTAGTCTAGAGCCAGGTCCCGGAACCTACGCACGAAGTCCACAGGATCTTACCCATGTTTTTGGCGAGTGTTGTTAAGTTGAGTGGTAGTAACTCTTTCCTCATGCTGGAAGTATTTTTTACAGAACCTGCTTGCCAAATCTTCCCAAGAGCGGATGGAACCTAGTGCCAATGTTGTGTACCACGTATAAGCACAATCGGTAAGACTTTTTGAAAACTCCCGGAGAAGGAGATTACAATCTCCAGCGTGTGGTCCCAAAGCATCAATGAAATGGTTGACATGCTCCTTCGGGCTTCCTTTCCTTTCGTCGAAAAGGAAAAAGCTTGGTGCTTCATAGCCTTTGGGCTATGGCTGCTGGAGTAAGCTTAATGGATATGGTGGCTGAGGGACATACTTCCAATCCTCCTGGCTTTGGCTTAGTTTCTTCTCTAGCATGGCGATGACATCTTCGTGGGTGACAAAAGATGGCCTCTTTTGTTCAGAACCTCTTCCGGCAGCGGCAGACTCCTCTTGGTATGGTCTTTCATTTTCTTCACTTGGCTTGGAAACTGAACTTTTTAGCTATTTGATTGTGTCCACAATCTCCCTTTGGGTTTCTTCCATAGCATGGATGGCTGCAACGAGGTCTGTGAGGGTGAAAGCTCCTTCACTTGCA